AAGAGTTCAAGATTATTTTCAAAGACCTGCCTCCTTCTCAGGTCACTCAGGGTCTTAGGCAAGCAAACTTTCTGAGATCTGATAAATCCACTGAATGAAGCATAAAATACAATGTGTTATCTTTTTTAGATTCAAAATCTGAGACTAAAGGAATCTCATTCTTACTCTGAAATTATATCCTTCAGCCAATTTGGGAAAAGTTTTTCTGTTTTGCTTTTTCCTGAAGGGAATTTTTCCTTCCTTCCTTCCTTCCTTCCTTCCTTCCTTCCTTCCTTCCTTCCTTTATTCCTCCTTCCTTCCCTTCTTTCTTTCTTTCATATCAGAAACAAAAGGTCTATTTTTTCTATAACAGTTGAAGATTTTATTATTTCTCTATCCAAAGTTGAAAAATAACTAGACCAAAGAAAAGTTAGTAAATATATAGATAATTTGAACAGCACAATCAATTTAATCTTTTGATGTATACAGAACACTACACCCAATGCCTAAAGAATATACATTATTTTTATATAACCATGGAACATTACCATGATAGACCACACTTTGGGCCATAAAACTAGTCTGAATACATTCAAAAGGCTTGAAATGCAACAGGATACATTTTCTGATCACAATAGACTTATTTATTTAATTTTTCTGGTATCTCTCTCTCTTTTAATTTATTTTAGAGTTGTGGGGTACATGTGAGGATTTGCTACATAAGCCAATTGTGTACTGATGAGGTGTGAGCTTCTAACGAGCCCTCTTTCTCCTGGTAGTGGACATGGTACCCAGTGGATGGTTGTTTGCCCTTAAAGGGAATTGTTCTGATTATCTCATCTCCTCTCTATGATATATAGCAGCCCTCACCTCCACCCCACCCACGGCCCATTGAAAGTCCTAAAGAAATTTACACCAGAATCTTATAATGGTTCCATGGTGGTCTTTCAAGGACAGGTTCATCTCCAGACCCACTACTTGCCAGCAAATTTTAGAGAAGCATAACAATGCATCTAGAGGAGATAAAAGAGAAACTAATTTAATTAATTTATCACTAAGGCCAAAGACATATAAATCTTACCATTTTATCTGTCAACCAACACTATGAATTATTCAACACACCGAATCTCAAGAAGGAATGTGAGAGAAAGTGGTTAGAAAGCAGCTGGCTGGGCAGAAGACTGTGTTCCATATATCAAAGCAAAAGAAGCCCCATGGCTGGACAAACTTTAGTAGTAGGTCTCAGTGACAATGAAAAAGTAGCATAATGTGTGTGTAGCGTGGTTCATGCGTCACAAGGGAGTCCACCACCACCATTTCTGCAGAGATAGTCTGAAAAGGACGTAGGTGGGTCCACTACACACACATCCTAGTTTCTGAGCAAGAGACCTTCCTGCAAATATGTTGTGATGTGTTTTCCTTTTAAAATTGAGCTTTCCAAGAGTTCTATGTCTTCAACTAGTCCCCTCAATGTCTAAAGAGTCATGAAGGTCTGCTATTTTGTGGAGGATAAAATCTAAGGGACATACAAAACCTAGAGTCCTTAGAGAAACCTGCTTTTAAGCTGCAAGTATTAAAGCATTTTTTTCAGGCAGATGTCCACTGGAATTCTTAAAGGTAAAAGACAGGAATGAAAGAAGAAAAAATATACACAACTCTCTTATGGAACTGAAAATTGGTAAACAAACACATTTTACTACTTATATATCCCCTACCACCAAACTACCTTAGCGCTTTGATAAACATGATATTTAAGTATGGAATTAAAGTTGAGGATGAAAAGGAACATGAAAGGATATTTTGAATAATAGGAGCAAGGAAATCTGCATTTTATAAACGGGCATTTAGGTTTTATATTAGTTATTTTGGCTTATATTTGGATCCCTACCCACTCCCTGCACCTTTAAAATATAGAAGTATTTATCTTTCATCAGGACCAAAATGCTTCTGAAATTACCCGTAGCTGAACATTACAGTGCCTTATTCGTTTCTGTATCCTTAGCAGTAGCACACAGCCTGACATGCAGCCTGTGCTCAGTAAGTGTTAATTGAATGACTGTTGAATAGAAGAGAGCACGGAAAGGGGTGAGGACCCTAAGAGAAAGGACTGAACAATGGGGAAAGGCTTACTAGAGTCCCATCAAGAAGAGGTTTAATTCATCCTGAAGCATGATCCTAACCTGAGACTGTTCTGAGTACCCCAGATAAATGTAGTCATAGTCTCTGTAATACACAAAGAATCTCAGCATTCTCTAGGGTGCCCTGGAATAAAGACTTTAGACAAATCTATAATATAAACAACTTTCTAAAGATTAGAACCAAGCATGGACCAAAGCATGGATCAAATACCAGCTATTTGGAGGATTTCTGTTTCTTCCATGTGTCTTAGCATGAACGGAGGAAAGACCTCTGAGGACTTTGGCTTTTCAGGAAATGAGAAAGGAGAATAAGTGTAATTAAAGATCAAAAATCTCTCTCGGGTCCAAAGAAAATTCTTGGACTCAGGACTCTAGCTTTGTTTTATACCCAAATCAAGGGCATTTACTTCTGCACAGCCAATAGAGAGGGCTGCCTTTAACTCTGGGATAAAGTTAGTTGTAAACCCTCAATAACAACCTCAGTCTCATGGTGCTGTGCCACCTCACTTCCACCCATAAGATTTTTTTTAAAAAACAACTGCTGTTAATAGGCCTTTATCTTGGATGGGGGAAAGTGGGTGTACGCCCAGAAAGAAAGAGAGATACATTAACAAAGCTCTGTGGGGTCTTCTGGTTCTTTTAGTTAGAGATGCAAAAGGTCACAGCTTGGATGCAAGGATGGGAGTCAGAGGTTGGGGCATTTTTTTGGATTGCTGCTTCTCTTGATTTCAAGCTCAAAAACATTAATTAAATATGCAAGGAGCAACCTACTTAGTGTAGATGTATTCACTCTCCAAGCCCCAAATCAATGGGTTGGGGCTTCAATATTGAAAGAGGATTCTGAAGAGTAGAATTCATGAGTGTTCTTATCTCAGCCATGCCAGACCCTGGAGTCCACTGCACTCAACAGCTCTGGTAGATCTGAGAGCCTTTGCTGGGTCTCTGGCTATTTACTTACTTTCTTCTTTTCCATCTCACTGAATCTTATCAGATGTAGATTAATGAGAAACCAGACTGGGAACCAGTCAAAAAGACTTAAGAGGAGACTGAGACACTGATCCTTGAAGAAATAAAGTAAACAGAGAAGAATCACATTTAACATGTGGAAGTCTCAATCCCTTGAGTTGAGGGAGAGAGAGAGAGAGAGACAGAGAGAGCGAGAGAAAGACTGACTGACTTAGAAACCCTAGGGAAGTAGGGCTCTGCAAATTCCAACACTTACTAGTAACTGCATTTAACTGCTTACATCCCAAACAGAAAACACCAAGACACTGCTAGCCTATAGCCTCTAACAAATGCATAATCTTCTTCTCCCTGCTGATCATTTACACAATTTAGCCAATTATCGCTGAGCGTTTCCGTGTTTAATTGTGGCTATTAGTAATAGTCTATCTGGCTTCTCCCATCCCCCATTTGCTTCTTTTTCCTTCCCACGCTCTCCCCCCAACCCCTTTCCCCCTTAGGAGCTAAGTTTCCCAGTTCATTGGAATTGCCTTTTTGGTGGTTGTGCCTCGTTCTTCTCCTAGGTTTCTTTCTTTCCTTCAAGACAGCCAACCTCAGACTCAGCAGGAGTCCCAGAGAAAACCGGCACCAGATCAAGATCAAGCATTCCCTTCTTTCCACCATCCCCCTCCACCAACCTTACAAGCTGTGAGCTGCTTCACAACTCCATCAAATAAAATTTAAAGAGAGAGGCAAAAAGAGCCACAGTCTGTCCTGGCATTTTTCTCAATGTGCTTCCCCTTAAAACCACAGAGCAGAAGCCCGAGGCCAGGAGGTGGTGAGAAGAATCAACTTTCCAAATGGGGTCTACATGTTACAGGTCTTCAAAATACAAGGTAGGGTAGGGGCCCCCCTCCCCCCCACAGTGTGGTTCACACTCACTGTCCCTGAAGGGCAGCTCTGGTGGCAGGTCTCTCTGTCCCTATGTCTCCTACTCTCTTCACCATCCGAATGAAATGCATAGTAAACAAACAAGGAAGATCCCTTCTTGAGAACCTTTTACTACTGCAAGCTCCCACCTGAGCCGCAGACATCACCCTTTTAGAAGCAGCCTGCTCAGAGCTGAATATATTCTTAAGAGTCATAGATTTCTTCTTTCAATAGCAGTGCAAGGAGAGTTGTTTGGAGCTAAACACATCATATCTGTATTGTGTGAACAAGCCCATCCTTGCTGCCTTAAATTGAAACAACATTTGCATAAATGGTGGAACGGAAGTTACAATTTACACTTGGGTAGATTATAAATGGACTTTATCTTATCTTACATATTGCTTTCCGATAGTCAGCAGTATTAGAGGTATAGTTTTAGTGACAGCTGCTTTTTCGACCAGACATGTGGGCACACATAAAGCTGCCAGAATGAACAATAATGGCTACGGTTGTTAATTACCTTTTCTGCCCTCTTACTCTCAACTACTTTGCCCTGACCTTTGCCACACAGGCCACTTTACAGCAATTCAATCCACTCCAGGCTAAAGACCTGATTTCTGCTATCTGCAATTTCCCCGGGACTAGCTCCCAAACCAGACCAGAGACAGGAAGGGTGACAGCAAGGTGAATGAATGATTTCTCCAAATGCAGCATGGGGACTTGTCTGATAAGTTGCCTGCCATGATGGGGGCGGAGAGAGCGGAAGGTTACAGAGCGGGAGCTGGAGTCTGTGCAGCTAGGAGGAGGGAGCTCAGGAGAGGGGAGCCCCTTAGAGAAAAGTGGGAGGCTTTATTAGCTGGATATTAGCTTCCCACATGGACACTCGATGCTTTCATCCTTTTAAATTCCATTTTAACCAAATTCTCTTCCCACCCTTGGCACTACCTGAAAAGCGAGTGAGTGAAGAAACTGTTATGCCCCATGAAAAGGATAAAGAGCAAAGAGACCCACCGTGCCCTCCTCGCAGGGAAACAGGGGAGCGATAGATAGAAACAGGCACTGAGTGATGCTTGCTGCCATGGAAATGGTGCTCGTGCTGAGAGTGAGACCCCGGCGAGGAAGAAGAGGAGGAGGAGGATGCTACATTAGAGGAACTCCACACAGAGCTGACGATACATCCCCAGAAGAGGGACCAGATCCCAAGCGTCCAAGCCGGCCGGCGAGCAGGGCTCCGTCTCGCGTGGATTCTCAGGTGCATGGTCAACGCACGGGACCACTACAGATGGGCGGTTGGAATTCCAGCCAGTGAGGAATCATGAAGTTCATGATGCCCAACGGCCCATCATAGCAGGGAGAGGAGTTGCCCGAATTTGGGGAAGAGTGAAACGATAAGCGCTCTCAAGACAACGATGAATCAGTTAAAAAAAAAAAAAACTACTTAAAAAATAGAAAGATAAAAGGCAAAGCCCCCTTTCCTGGAGCTGAAACTTAGGACGCCAGAGTCCACCCAGACACAGCAAACCTCTCCGCGAGCCCCGGCATGCCAGGCATGTCAGGGAAGGAACGGTGCGGCTCTGCCCTGCGCCCAGGGCACCTCGAGTCCGGTGACTTAGCCGCACGCTCCGGGAAGCCACAGAGCAGAGGTCTCCGGAGGCAGCCGAGGCCCAAGGAGGCTCAGGTTAGTTTATCCCAACATCCGAGGAGTTTGGACATTTTCCCCCCTCTATTTCCACTTCCATGCGATGCAGTGCAGAACCGCCAGGCACAGGGGCTGCAGGTGGAGGAGTTCTCCTCGTGCTCCCGGGAGTCCCGGCGGAAGGGCGCGGAGGCTGTTAACCCTGCGCGTCCCGGAGTGGCCGCCGGCTCTCTGGGCTTCCCAACAGGATGAAAATCAAAAGCAGCAGCAGCAGCAACAGCAGGAGCCAGAGGAAGAGTACAAGAAGGACCGGAGGGCAAGAGGAGAGGAGGAGGAACCCAGCGCGCAGCAGCCACCCAAACCAACGTGGCACGAGGCGAAATCGGGGAGGGCGCGGGAGGCGGCGCCCGGCGGGCCGCGGGGGTGGCCGCCTGCAAAGCGCACGGACCCAGGAGGCGCAGGTGAAGGGAAGCGAGTAGTTGGGAGCCAGATTCACAAATGGGCAAGTCGTATGCAAATCGCGCACTCCCGAGAGCAAATCAGGGCGGCCCGAGCGCTCTGCCGAGGGACTGGCTGGCTCCGGAGGAGGGAGGGGCCCGGGAGCTCCGGAATCCCGGCCCTCCCCATTCAAGTGCGCGCTCGTCTACACCCGCGCGAGACCCCGCGCACACCGCCCGCCTCCCCTCGCTCGCCCGGCCGTGCGCGCGCGCGTGTGAGTGAGACCCACAGACGGACGCCGCGCCTTTTTCATCGCCCTGTCCCCGATCCTCTCCCAGGCGCGTGAATCCAAACTTGGGTCGTGAAGGCATCTTTTGCAATTTGGAAAGAAAACGAAGGGCGGCGGCTAAGGCCAAAGTAGCCCCGATAGAAATATAAATAACCTCCTTGAGTCAGCAGGAGCTGCTGCACGCAGTGGCGCCACACGCAAGTCCTCTCCGCCTGGCAACTCAGGGCCACTCTCTGGGCGCCTGTCTGTCCCGGGGTTAAGGTGCCCAGGGCACCACCCTCGGGGCGGACAAATGGAAAGAATACTACGCATTCGGACTCTGCGAATTGGAGGGGGGGTGACCCAGGGACT